ATATCACCACTTAAGAGCGCTACAATAAGAGCTGTGTACCACTGTTTTTGTTTGGGTATGCGGTGATGCCATACCTTGCGGCGTTAGTGACATTTACTTTTCCATTTTAATGTTCAGGATGGCAACTGATGGGCTTTTACTGCCCAGGTAAGGTAATTAACACCCAGGTACCTACTTACTGCTAGGTGAACAGTGACAACAGATGTAATTAACACCCAGGTACCTACTTACTGCTAGGTGAACAGTGACAGCAGGTGTTTAGTGCAGGAGGAGACATGCCCGGGATTTGAACCTGGTCTTTCGGTTGTAACCAAGGCTCTGCCACTGAACTGTTGTCTAAATAAAGTTCTTCATGCAATTTTTCTTTCCAGTTCAGGATGTCAAAGGCTTTTGATCCAATCAAGTGGAGCTATCAATCACTTCCTCGGATCAAACTTAGATTAAAAAATAAATGAAATTAGTTTTCAGCTAATCATATTATTATTAGGGGAGAGGGGAAATCCGTAGGGGTTATACAGCGCCTGGGGAACAGGAGACAATCAGGTTTGATCCAAGGAAGAGGAAAATAGATGTATTTCCTTTGATCAAAAACTTTTGAAGGACCCTTAAAGCCCCGGCGGGAATCGAACCCGGGTCCTCAGCGTGTGAAGAGAGAAGTTTGCCAGGCAGGCCACGAGGCACAGGTATTCAGCCCCTCAAGGCAGGTTCCCTGACGCTGGTGAGGGGCTCTTATCTAGGGAATCGGGTCTTGCTCCGTTCCCCCCAAATTTAAAACCTCAGTCCCTTTTATTTCCACCCCCCCCCCCCCCACGGTGCCCTGGCCCGGGGGTAAAAACTCTCGCTTCAAACACGGGGAGGGCCGGGTTCGATTCCCAGCGAGGGGAAAACACGGATGTGTTGCTTACACTGGTTGCTATGTTCAAAAACCCCAGTAAAATAGGTCCGGGTGTTAGTGGACTGGCGTGGGTCCAACCTGGGGGTTAGTGGACGGTGGGGTCACATCCGGGTGTTAGTGGAGGGTGGGGAGCATTGGGGGTTAGTGGGCTGGTGGGGTCCCCCCTGGGTGTTAGTGGACTGGTTGGGTTGATCCTGGGGTTAGGGAGGGGGGGGGTCCACTCCTGGGTGTTAGTGGATGGTGTGGGTCACAACCTGGTGTTTTGTGGGGGGTGGGCACATCCCGGGGGGTTTAGTGGAGGGGTGGGTAGCCCTGGGTGTTAGTGGACTGGTGGGTCCAAAACCTGTTGAGGGACTGGTGTGGGTTGCATCCTGGGTGTTGTGGACTGGTGTGGGTGCATCCTGGGTGTTAGTGGACGGGGTGGGTCAATCCGGGTGTTAGGGTTGGTGTGGGTCACACCTGGGGGTTTTGTGGATGGTGTGGGTCACATCCTGGGTGTTAGGGATGTGTGGGGCACACCTGGGGGTTAGTGACTGGTGTGGGTTGCTCCTGGGTGTTAGTGGACTGGTGTGGGTAGCACCTGGGTGTTAGTGGGGCTGGTGTGGGTCACAACCCGGGTTTAGTGGACGGTGTGGGGGCCATCCTGGTGTTGGGACTGGTGTGGGTCACAAAATGGGTGTTTGTGGACTGGTGTGGGTCACATCCTGGGTGTTAGGAACTGGGTGGTACATCCTGGGTGTTAGGGGCTGGGGGGTCACATCCTGGGTGTTAGTGGACGGTGTGGGTTGCATCCTGGGGGTTATGGATGTTGGGTAGCATCCGGGTGTTAGTGGCTGGTGTGGGGCACATCTGGGGGTTTGTGGGTTGGTTGGGGGCACTCCTGGGTGTTAGTGGACTGGTGTGGTGATCCTGGGTGTTAGTGGGTGGTGTGGGTCACATCCTGGGTGTTTGTGGGACTGGGGTGGGTTGCATCCTGGGTGTTAGGGACGGGGGTGGGTAGCATCCCGGGGGTTAGGGATGGTGTGGCCCCATCCCGGGGTGTTAGGGACTGGTGGGGGCACCTCCTGGTGTTAGTGGGCTGGTGTGGGTCACAACCCGGGGGTTAGTGGGCTGGTGTGGGTCACATCCTGGGGTTAGTGGACTGGTGTGGGTAGCATCCCGGGGGTTTTGTGGGCTGGTGTGGGGAGCATCCTGGTGTTTTGTGGACTGGTGTGGGGACTCCTGGGTGTTAGTGGGCGGTGTGGGGGCACACCTGGGTGTTAGTGGACTGGTTGGGCACATCCTGGGTGTTATGGCTGGGGTGGGGGGAGCACCTGGGGGAGTGGACGGTGTGGGTCACATCCTGGGGGTTAGTGGACTGGTGTGGGTTGCATCCCGGGTGTTAGTGGGCGGTGTGGGGGGCCCTGGGGTTTGTGGGGTTTGGTGTGGGCACATGGGGGTTTTGTGACTGGTGGGGTCCATCCTGGGTGTTAGGGATGGTGTGGGGGCACAACCCGGGTGTTAGGGACTGGTGTGGGCCATTCCCGGGGTTTGTGGACTGGTGTGGGTCGCATCCTGGGTGTTAGTGGACTGGTGTGGGTCACATCCTGGGTGTTAGTGGACTGGTGTGGGTCGCATCCTGGGTGTTAGTGGCTGGTGTGGGTCACATCCTGGGTGTTAGTGGACTGGTGTGGGTCACATCCTGGGGGGTTGTGACTGGTGTGGGTGCATCCTGGGTGTTAGTGGACTGGTGTGGGTCACATCCTGGGTGTTAGTGGACTGGTGTGGGTCACATCCTGGGACAAAATTGACCTAATTTGCGGGAAATGCTCAGCATAACAAGCGACTTTGTATATAGTAGTATGTCTTTGATGCATCTTAGTAAGGATGTTTCCTATTATCCTGATGTTAGAGGTGTACAGTCTTAATAAGTAAGTTGATTTAGGTACATTGTATATTACACATTATTATACATAGTAACAGCGAACAAGCTATACACGAGGGACTTGAATGATAGCTTTAGGCCTTTCGTGTTGCAGTGAACATATCAGGAGCTTGCAATGTTGCAGTGAACATATCAGGAGCTTGCAATGTTGCAGTGAACATAGGAGCTTGCAGTGAACATATCAGGAGCTTGCAATGTTGCAGTGAACATAGGAGCTTGCAGTGAACATATCAGGAGCTTGCAATGTTGCAGTGAACATATCAGGAGCTTGCAATATTGCAGTAAAAGGAGGAATTCCATGCAAATGCGTCTGCTCGAAGCAGACACACTTCCTGTTTTTAGAGGTGGGAAGCATGTACTCGGGGGCTCAGCTGGAAGTTAAATAAGTCACACGAAAATCACTCACTACGAAAGCAAAAGACTTGGCAGACGATGCAACATCCCCCCAATGAAAAGCAGGGGTGTCACTAGCACGTTAAGAGACCATACAATAAGTGTCAGGGGCCCGAGACTGTTCAACTGCCTCCCAGCACACATAAGGGGGATTACCAACAGACCCCTGGCAGTCTTCAAGCTGGCACTGGACAAGCACCTAAAGTCAGTTCCTGATCAGCCGGGCTGTGGCTCGTACGTTGGTTTGCGTGCAGCCAGCAGCAACAGCCTGGTTGATCAGGCTCTGATCCACCAGGAGGCCTGGTCACAGACCGGGCCGCGGGGGCGTTGACCCCCGGAACTCTCTCCAGGTAAACTCCAGGGATGTCAGGCATTTCTTGGAAGTTAAATAAGTCACAGGGATGTCAGGCATTTCTTGGAAGTTAAATAAGTCACAGGGATGTCAGGCATTTCTTGGAAGTTAAATAAGTCACAGGGATGTCAGGCATTTCTTGGAAGTTAAATAAGTCACAGGGATGTCAGGCATTTCTTGGAAGTTAAATAAGTCACAGGGATGTCAGGCATTTCTTCACTGGCTCAGGGTGGTTGGGAAGTGGAGTGATCACGATGACAAAGTGGTGGAGGCACTTACTACATAATTTTAAGAATAGATGCAATAGGGCCCACGATGCTAGAAGAGAGTGAATCTGGCAAGTTTAGTGTCGGGGCCAGGAGCTAAGACTTGAACCCTGCAACTACATATAGGTGAGTACAGGATCAGTGTGGTGCCCAAACGAGGTGCACTACTGTATTGTGTACATATATGTAATTTATTTGAATTGTCGATTAGTGCTCAATACGTAGGATCTTAAAATGCCTTCAGAATGAGAGAATAAGAAATATAAACACATATGCAGTATAATGTGATCCTTTATTGGCTACGTTTCGCCCACACTGGGTTTTTTCAAGTCACAAACAGATCTACCTGGGGTGGAAGGGACGCGAGTATTTATAGTCGCGTCCCTTCCACCCCAGGTAGATCTGTTTGTGACTTGAAAAAGCCCACTGTGTGGGCGAAACGTAGCCAATAAAGGATCACATTATATTGCATATGTGTTTATATTTCCATTGTGTCGGTATTTTATACCATTTATTTCCATCCATGAGAGAATAAGGTACCGTCCACGTAAGGACCTACTATGTGTGAGCCAGAGGTTGGTGGAGGGGGGGGGGGGAAGTGCATGTACCAAGGAGCCTTGATGGAGGGATTGGATGTGAGAGAGGTGCATTCTGCTTCTCTGAGGGTTACAAACCACCTAACACTGACAGTGGTTCCTCTACTGAGAATAGCGCCTCTCGGGTTCCTGGTTAGAGGAGCCTCAGTCGTCCCAGTAACACCTAATGGCTTTCAGCTTTATAGCAAATTTTCTCTCAAATATACTTTTGCCTCATTGACTTGATGGGCCATGAGTAGCTCTGTCTTTTGGGAAGTGGTGGGTCATACAGACCATCAGTAAGTTACACAAGGCCTGGCAGGGCATTGGTGTTTGGCATTCCTCCTACAATAGGAATTATCACTTAAGGATTGAATGTGCACACCTCATCCATAGCCATTTCTTTATGGCTTGTGGCATGCAGCTGACTGTGAAACACATTTTAGCCCATTTGTTAAGTTATGGTTTGTTTAATTATGAGGGTGCCTTTAGAGATTTTGGACAAGTTTATTACTTATTTTTTGACGATGATATAATTTTTTTTAATTGATGCAGGTTATTTTACTTAGTGTGTTATCATTTAATTTTACCTTAGGTGTGGTGACCCGTGGCCAAAGGTCTGGCTTAACACAGTGAGGGATCCGGGTTCGATTCCAGGAGAAGGGTGGAAACATTGGGCATGTTTCTTTACACCGGCTGCAAATGTTCACCCATCAGTAAAAATGGGTACCTAGGTATTAGTCGACTGATGTGGGTCACATCCTGGAACAAAATTGACCTGAAATGCTCTGCATAACAAGCGACTTTCTATATAGTAGTGCATATGTCATTGATGTCAGCTAGATCTGTATACCTTGTAGAAACAGAATGACTTCAAGAGTGTATCAGTCTGTAGTGGAAGGAAAGGTTGGAGGGAGGGGGTAAAGGAGGTTTTGTGTGCAAGGGGCTTGGACTTCCAGCAGGCATGCGTGAGCGTGTTTGATAGGAGTGAATGGAGACGAATGGTTTTTAATACTTGACGTGCTGTTGGAGTGTGAGCAAAGTAACATTTATGAAGGGGTTCAGGGAAACCGGCAGGCCGGACTTGAGTCCTGGAGATGGGAAGTACAGTGCCTGCACTCTGAAGGAGGGGTGTTAATGTTGCAGTTTAAAAACTGTAGTGTAAAGCACCCTTCTGGCAAGACAGTGATGGAGTGAATGATGGTGAAAGTTTTTCTTTTTCGGGCCACCCTGCCTTGGTGGGAATCGGCCAGTGTGTTAATAATAATAATTAAATATTTATTTATGTTTATTTTTAATTTTTATTGCTAATTGATTTTAGGTCAGTGCTCTGCAAGTCTTACAATTTCTTAACTTTCACACAGGGATCTGCTTCATGCAGTGCCCTGTTGCTGCTGCTCTTGTTATCTATAGTATGTGGGACGCCTCCAGCCGTCCCTCCAAGTCCACCTCATGCTGAAATAATGAAACACTTAAGGCAGCTTCAACAGGAGTTCGGGGAAACTGAGGTAATTATCTTTCATATGCTCAAATTGTTTATGGATCGAGATCCTGGGTGCTTCTTTTTAATCAAATAATCTAAGTACATTTAATGGTAGTTTGGATAAAAGTGTCCCGTAGCTCGATTGCTAGTGCACTTATCCCCCACACTGAGATCTGGGGGTCGATTCTCTGTATGGCTGGAAACATGACGTGTTTCCTCAAGGCACTGCTGTTTATGTTTACCCATCAGTAAAATAGATACCTGATGTGGGTCACATCCTCGTAAAAAAAAATTGACCTAATTTGCCCAAAATGCTCTGCATAAGTTAGTTTAATATGTACCCCATACCCATCCTGTGGGCGGTAGTCAAAAGATTACAGAGGTACATAATACCAGGGGCTTTCTATGTAGCAGCAATCTGTCATAAATAAGTTTATTCAGGTATACACACATATAGTAGTACATAGATTATCATACTTAGCAGCACATGTGTAAAGTACCTAGGGTAACCCAAAAAAGTCAGAGTGACTTATTTCCATTTAGGCCTATATACCTTGTAGAATTAATTATTATTATACACGAGTAGTTCCTGCCTAGTATAAGCCACTAGATGTACTCTTGTGTTAATTTTTTTAAGACTGTGGGAACTTGATATATTCCAGTCATTCTTTTTAAATTTTGTCTTTCGTAATCTGGGAGCCTTTAGATATCTGCATTTCTAAGTCAAAAATCTGTGTGCAAAGTTGAATATTCCTAGATGACCATTATCTGTTTGCTTCCATGACCCTCAATCATCCTACTATCTAAGGAATAATTACTCATGTTAGTGAAGCTAGTACAGTACAGACCCTTGCAGCATCCTGACCTGTCTTGTCCCGTAGCTCGATTGGTAGCGCACATGAGGTCCAGTACAGCTGGAAAACATTAGGGATGTGTTTTCACAAGACACCTGCTGTCCCTGTTCACTATGGGTACCTGGGTGTTAGTCGCATCCTGGGACAAAACTGACCTAATTTGCCTGAAATGCTCAGCATAACAAGCAGCTTTCTGTATAGTAATATGTCACTGATGTCAGCTAGGCCTGTATACTATGTACATGTAGTAAATAAAAGATAAGATATCTTTTCAACCCATCTATTTTTATCTGCCACCTTTAGAAGTTCCAGTCATCCATGTACGTACATCCTTCATTCCTTATAATAATTATTATTTCTACAAGTACGTGTCTTGCTGAGTAGGTAAAATTGGCCAGTTAGCAAGAACTCGTTTAGAAGTAAGTCCTTTCTAAAATTTCCTCTTATACATTTAAAGATATATTTTTTCATTTATGTTAATATAAAAATTAATGATTTTGTACCACAAGAACCTTAGGAAACTTACCTAACTGTATTATAAGAAGCGTAATTTAATTTAGCCTAATCCATCTAAATATATAAGTTTACAATAATAGACAAATATAATGAAATATTTTTTTTCGTTAGATTCAGAATGATTTTTGCATGCCCTATGGAGCAAGCCTAGCTGACATACTTCTATATAGAAAGCCCCTTGGTATGCAGAGCAGATCAGTTTTGTCCCCAGGATGCAACCCACACCAGTTGACTAACACCCATGTACCAACTGATAAACAGGGACAGTAGGAAGAACGTCCAAACATTTCCACCTGTACTGGAGATTGAACCATGGACTTCATTGTGTAAGCCGAGCGCGCTACAGGACACTTAATGTCTCGTCTTCATATTCTAAGGTTGTAATTAAAGCAGTTCAGCACTTTGATTTTTCACATTGCAAGATGGTTGCGTCACATCTTTAGCTGGATTCCTAGGTATCCTGATTTTTTTTTAACACACTAGCAGTCTCCCACCGAGGCAGGGTGATCCCCCCGGAAAAAAAAAAAAAACATTTTTGCCTTATGTTATGGGGAATTAATTGTAACTTCACTGCATGCCAATATCTTTCACTCTTTGTCACGGGGTCCCATTTTCCCCAGGTGTATATCTTGGCACACTTGTGTACCTGGCCATCCTCCCTGTCAGTTATGGGAAATGGTAATCTCAAAATTATGTACAGGATACAAGGGTCAGACGTGCCTGTCAGGCCATTGTGACCTGACTGTCCTACTTATGAAAGAACATTACTTGGAGTGGGTTAATGCCTCTGTGACCAGGGCCTGATCAACCAGATTGTTGCTATTGGCCACATGAACCACAGGCTGGCTTGTCAGGTACCTGTCCAGTGCCTTCTTGAAGATGGCCAGGGGTAATCTCCCTTATGTATGCTGGTAGGCAGTTGAACAGTCTTGGGCCCCTGCTTTTCATTGGGGGAAATGTTGCATCATCTGCCTTCATAGGGAGTGATTTTCGTGTGCAAGTTTGGTACTAATCTCTAGGATTTTCTGTGTGTCTCCCACCTGCATTCTAGGGAGTACAAATTTACCACTACAGTAATCGTATAATTGCAGGTTGCAACAAAGTGGAAACAAGGTCCATGGTCTTCACCAGCAAGTGAAAGTTATGAGGACCCTTCTGAACTAGATGAAGTCATCCCTGGCTTCCTGGCTGGACTTAACATGGAAAGCCTCATCAGAGATGTGCCCTCCAAGGATGACGATGATGATAGGAGCACTAGAAAGAATAGTTATGGGATGTACTCAACTGTCCTCCACCCCTCTGCTCTGTTTAACCCCAAGTATGGAGACCAGGAAGAATAAAGGGCAAGCACTCCTCCATCACACATGGTAGTGGTAAACTTTGACCTGAAATGTATATTTTATAACAAAGATGGTATTTCTTGCTATTATAAAGTCAAATTATAGTACAAGAATTTATTTACCCCAATTGGTGGAAAAAATTTTAGGAAGCCATACATTACGTACATGCAAAGGGTATATAGATGATTATAAATAGGAAATACATCTGTCTCACACTTGGAGGATCAAGACCACCATGTCCTACACTGAATAACCCACATGGATAAAAAAAGGAAGTGCAAAGATCTCAAGATATTTCTACTCAAGCCAATATAATTTCTTACATTGCTGTGCAGTATACAGAACTATTATTGTCTGGAGAGAAATTGTGAGAAAGATAATATATATGAAGGAATTCAGAGAACTAGTTAGGTGGACTTCATTCCAGGCAATGGGAAGTACAGTGCTAGCACTAAGGGTGGGCATTTTCAGTTCTGAAAGTGATACCTATATCTGGCAAGACAATAAATCAATATGAATGTTTCCACCATGGTGGGAGATGGCAGATGTGTTAAACAATCTACTACTTCATTATTGAGAATCTTGTGCCTCAAGCACTAGTGGAACTATTCTAGTGTTGGAGACCAATACAAATTTATAACTAAAGGTGGGTCACTCAGTAGATGACTGATGCTGTGTAGGATAGGCAAAACACCAACAGTTAAAATAGCTCCTAAACTGGGTGCTGGGGAGGAGAGGGGTAACAATCCCCTTTTATACAATGCAGGGTTCCTTTCCTATATAAATTTATTTTTAGGTATAAAAAAAAAAGTTAGGAATTTACAAATTTTATTTATAGAAAAATAGCACTTGAAACAAATCAATATTTATTATTGTTGGAACAACGTAATATAAATTGCATAGTTCATTTAGTTTGATAAAATGCACTCTATAACAAGGAATAGTCATGACCAATTAGTCACTAGCATCAATAATCAACACTTTCTAAATGTTGAGATTCATAATATATTAGTGTTAGATAATAAGTTCTTGCCATTAATCATTGATATACTGTGTTAACAAGATCTGTTGATTTGTAAGAAGGATTAAATAATGTCTAAGATGAGGAAATTCTCAGAGTACCACAGCCTTCCTTGGACTTGTGCACAACTATACTGCTGCCATTAACAATAGATTTAAAATTCTATGGCTGGGCATGCTGTAGCTCTGATAGTTACCTTACTATTATTGCCACTGGCCACCCACCACTATTGTGTTAATTGGACAAAGCCTATTGATACACAAGATTCATTAATATTGTACATATCCTTGAGTGGTGATGAACAAGTTATTTAAATAAGTGATTAAAACAAAATCTGCACATGCAATGAGAAACTTCTACCTCTTGGTGTGCAGCACATATAAGCTTGTCCACTAAGAATTAGGAGCCATGGCAATATTATGCATAAAAGGTCAAAAATATTTAATCACTGAGGCATATAATTTTTTTTTTCTAGCATTTAGGCATAAAAAAATCTGTAGCTATATTTCTTTAATTTACTAGATTAACAGGCATAAAAGTTTGATCTTAAGCCATATAAAAATAATTTTTAGTCAACTTTAATAAAATGAACCATAAAGGAGATTTTTAAATGTGACTGAAAATTGTACAGTGCATAGAAAGGCCTTCATAGTGCACGCTATTAAATATTGGATGCAATTTTATTTTATCACACTGGCCGATTCCCACCAAGGCAGGGTGATCCGAAAAAGATGCAATTATATTTTATAAAGCTTCTCTGTATAGTGGATTTTTTATAGAGCTGACTGTATATGTAATTAAACCTGACTAATGTATACAATGCATTAGAAGCTAATGGCATGTCTACAACAGTCTGAATAAAAAGCTAGTTTTAAAAGTTGCATTACATAAAGCTCTAAGGTGTAAAATAAATATTCACGTTTATCAGGGAAAAGTGCTAAACCTATAGGGGTTCATATTGTCTGGGGAAATGGAGGCATTCAGGTTTTAACCCAAGAAAGAGGAGGATAAATCTGTCTTTGGAGCAAGAACCTATAACAACTTTTTTACTTTGTTTTAAATGTTTCAATGCAAAAATAGCTAATCTAAAACAGTGTCCTTCAATACTTTCTTAAACTTCTTGTATACCTCAAAAGGAAAGAAAGAATTCTTTGGCATGGTCACTTTAAATTCAGTACCAGTACTTGAATTCCAGTTTTTACTATTCATATGGAATAAACCTGATATGATCTGGTAACATAGTATGAGTAAGGTTTGAAATAGCATCAAGTAGACTGTAAAGTTCTTATCTCAGACCTTAGGTTACTCAACTCACACCTTACTTTTTTTCTATACTCTATATATATATTTTTTTTTTAACATGTTGGCCATTTCCCACCAAGGCAGGGTAACCCCAAAAAAAATTCATCATAGTATATACATAATTATTTTTAACCCTTTGCATGTTAGAGATGTTTTCTAAATATAAATGTCTGCATTTCCTTACGCATCTTTTTAAACCATCTTTACATTCAGCTGACAAGAATCCTCCCAAAATTTCTATTATTTAAACTTCTGTTAAAGATTATTTTGGCTGTCATAGACATGCAAGTTTCCACTTGCTCTTAAGAGAGAATTTGTAATCAGCCAAAGATGGTTTAGACCATCTTCAGGGGGGGGGGGGGGCACTATAATAATTTTTTGAGATGCATGTTATACTTAATACTGGTCTATTACAGCTTTAAGTAAATTATTAAAACAATGCATACATGCTAATTAATAGTTTGAGAAATTTAATAAAAGGCATCACTTTATAAGGCAAATTGAAAAATAATTTATGAATTAAGGGTTTAGCACTTTCCTTAAAATATACTGTACATTACAAACCTGTAAGTGTAAAGGAGGCCTACTAAGGGTTTTAATATTAAATTTCATTTATTAATTATCATTCAACATGTGCTCCTCTTCACTTAAGATTTGTATTACATACGCCTAATTTATGCTTTCTTTTTTTCTAGCACTAGTATTAACCTTAGGTTAAGTTTGCTTTAAATTTTATGGATAACCACTGACTTCTCCTTGTACAAAATATACATTGTTGGCCTACTATTGTAATTAATGTACTGTACCTAAGGAAATAATTTATCATTTTTATTCCATATTCAAACACTATCATAGCCAGCTCCATTCAAACTAAAAGTAAGATTTTGCATAGCACATGTTTTTTGTGATCATCATAATTCACATAGCATGATACAGTATATGTGGAAAAATAGAGATTCTTCGGACATCATTGTTTTCAAAAGACAGTGGTACCTCGAGTTTTGAACAGCTCCCAACTCAAACAATTATATAAGTGTATTTTTGGGGGTCTGAAACGGACTAATCTAATTTACAGTATTCCTCACGGAAACAAATTCGCTCAGTATCAGCACTTAACAGCCTTCTGGAACGAATTAAGTTCGTAGCTCAAGGTATCACTGTGTACATCAAAACAAGTTTTTTCCCATAACTACATAAAAGGGCATAACATAAATATATATATGTTTGGCAGTTACAGGATGTGTTATATATAAAAATGAATATCATTTGATCAGCTGATATGTTATAATGTTGGTAGAATTACCAATAATATGTAGGTTAAAAGGACACAAGTGCAACTAATGTGACATTTTACTGTGGCAATGTTTCACTCTCCAGGAGCTTTCTCAAACCGTTACAAACAATACAGGGACACACACAGGTATATATAGGTAGACAGTGAGGTGCAAAATATAATATAATCATTGTAGGTAGTAGTAGCAATGTAATGGTAGAGTTTATGTTTTGAGGAGAATTCTTGCCAATATTTCATTGGCAAGAATTCTCCTCAAAATAATAAACCCCACCATCATATAACTACTACAACAAGGGCTACTGCTACATACAATAATCATATTATACGTATTTTGCACCTTACTCTGTACCTACATATACCAGTGTCCCCCCCTGTATTCTTTTTAACAGCTTGACAAAGCTCCTGGAGAGCAAAATGTCACATAGCTGCACTTGTGTCCTTTTACCTACATAATTGCCCTTAAATTATACAGCTCAGATCGTATCATAAGTGTTCTATAGTTTCTCTTAGAGTTTAGCACTTTCCCACAAGTGTCAAAAAATATATTAATATTTAACACTTAGGAGTTTTAAGCAAGCAAAACGAACTGTCACACTTTGTGACGAGATTCAAGTACAAATGTATAATATCTAATATTACAACTTCCTCAGATTTATTATTGTCATATTCAAGGGGCAGCACTAAGCCAAGAGGGGTCACACACTGCCAGATTTCTTACAAGAGCCCTTCACCATCATCAAGGACCCCTTATCCTTGAAGATACCTCAAATGTAACTCCTGTACTTTCTCTCTCATATTATGCCAGTCTCTGAGGGAAAGGGGGTGGCTTATTTGGGATTTTTATCCAAGGAATTGGATATACCCTCTCCTTTGGATAAAACTGGATTACCTACTACTTCCTAAGCACTGAATGACCCTTAGGGGTTTAGCACCTACCCGTGAACATAATTATAACCCATACATATTAAATTATTAGAAATTGATTGTAATAATAATGTACTCAAAGGTTACATATCTAATAAAAACTTTGGTAAAATATCATTTAAGTCTCTGTGCTGACATAATAAATTAACTCATTTATATTATTAATGTGTAAGTGATAAGATTACACATTACATGGCAGCTTTGCAAATGCAAAACTGCCATGTACTAATTTTGTTTTAATTTCAACATATACTATAAAGAATGCAGCATTAATCGCTTTGCAGAGGATAATTATTTTAATATTAGGCTGTACTAGCTTGGTAGTTATCTGAATGCAATGGGTGAAAGAGGGAACTGACTAGCTAATAGTTTAGGAAAAATTCCATCTTGCTTGGTATTAATCCCTTTTTCTTCTGTTTTATAGGTTCCTCCCACACATTTCATTATTCTCATTAAAGTATGACTTATGCTTCTGCATATATATATATACACAGTATTATATGATTTTTATATCTACATGCAACCAACTATTTGGACTTTTTCCTTGCATTTACTATAATAATAAATTTTAATAATACATGTATAACTTAAAACTAGACTACAATAAAATTATGACCCAATTAAAGAAATACTGTAAATAAATAAATACAAGGGCAGTTTCTGAAACATACAGAACAGACCAACATAGAATTTTGAATTCATTCGTGTACAATAAGGCAACCAGCATAATGCTGGCAATGCTACAAGTTGAAGATATGAGAAACAATATTGCATCACTCCAAAAATATAGGTAAAGATTCATTTGGGGTCATACTGGCCTATGAGATTCAGCTCTACTCTTAAAAAAAAAATATATATATATAACTAAAGATCTAGGCACTTTGACAGTCCTTCTATCTTGCATCTTACTAACTTGGCCATATTAAGCATAAGGGTTAAAGCCTATTTACTGCACAAAGTAATTAAAGTTATAATTTATCTGAACACTTAACAGCCTATCTATAAGCACTTGAATGAAGTTTCAAGTATAACAAGGACAAAATGAAGAATAAAATGCAAGGACAAGCCTTTATATTGCAAAACATTAAGAGGAAATTGTAAAGGAAGGCGTGCCTCGTGCTGGTATAGGGTAACCGAGCCTTATATTTAGTTATTTCTATCTGCAGTTTACTATGAAGATTTGTCCTTTCAATACTATTCCTCCTCATAAATTAGTGGTACTTTACTTGTCTAGCAGGCACATAGGTTCATCACTATAAATTAGTTTTCAATATTCCACTTCAGTTTAGTAGAATAGGTTTATAATTATATGATTCTCTTTGCATTACTAGGACACATGGAAAAAATGGGTTTTAGCTAACAAGGTTGTGTTGAGAAAGTAACACTCTGATAGATAATGCAAAGGAGCAATTATGTGGCCAAATGCTTATACTGTACTTGCTAAATGTTGCACTGCAGAGCTTAAAATTCCAGATTAGCAAGTGTAATATTCATTCTTAATAAAAATGAGAATTAGAGGTTATAAAAATTATATCTTAGAAACATTCAAATTGAAATTAAGTTAACAACTTAAACAGATGTTAGCTCACTCTGCCAGGTAAATAATAGCATAAGCCAACAAGTCCAATCAAGATGCTGGGAATCCTTTTACAGTACTATTAAAAAGATTCCTTGCTACCAGTGTATTTCCTTTCAGCTCACTGTTATCACAGGAAATAAGCAATACTAATACTTTTATTTCTTACTCTTCTTCACTAGATCCTGAGGATGAAGAGGAGCCACCATGGAAGCCTTTTGATATCATGTAGCCACCAGCCCCTAGAGCCCCAAGGCCAGCCAGAGGAACACCATACTTCATTGCCTTGCCACCCATACCTTTGTTCTGTTGAAGAAAAGGGCTACAAAATTTGTCAAAAGTTCAATATTTCTATAAGATTTGCATTCATTAATTACTTAGGATTTAAGGCCGAAATTACAAAATTTATAATCAAAGGCTGTTAGCAACAATTTAAATATAACTGTTTTAATATCTTTCATAACACCAACTAACTTGTTAAAATTACAGCATGTATAAATGATGAAACAAAAGTGAGATGCAGAAGTCTTTGGTTCGTTTCACCCATCACTGGACTTGTCTTAAATCTCTCTACTTCATAAACCCGTAGAAATAATGAACTCCTGTGCCCTTGTGCTTTTTCACCATCTGTCAGTACATTTCCAGTATCTCCACCAAAATTAACAAAACTAAGAAAAGCTAATATTTAAAAATTCTTTCATTGAAATTATCATACTTAGAGGGCATTTTTTGAAAGTGATCTAGATTGGCAAGTCCTTAATCCAAGTACATCAACAATATAATGAAATCCAAAATAATATTTAAAATTTGTGAAAACTTTACCCACCGATTTTGCCAACATAGATGCTCCTCCCAGGGCACCCCCAATTCCCAAGGCTTTGTTAAGAATCCCTCCAGAGCCTCCATGTCCTGGGTAGCCTCCATGTCCTGGGTAGCCTCCATGTCCTGGGTAGCTTCCATATCCTGGGTAACCCCCACTCGATTTGGACTTCTAAAAATTTAAAGTTACAATCACAAGGCTGTCTTAAGTCAATCTGAAAATCCGGTGACTGAATATTTAAGGTTGGTCACTGTGTAGGGTGCCTGGGAATTTTACTTCTATACTCATTATAAGAAAATGTAATCTGCTCATCTCATGGAAGCTTCTTAATTCCCACTCATCCCATGTGGGCTTTGCAAAAACAGATTATCTTAGTTTGTGACATCCATTAACTTTTGCAAGATAAATGAATCTAATGATGCAGAGGTAAAGAAAGAATCCTTATATATATATGAACATAAACATTAGTTCATTGATAATTCTTTTCATAGCATGATCATGGTATTAAGGCAACATTCTTATATATAGCAGACTACAACAATATGCTCTGCTAGGTCAAAAAAATTAAGATACTCTAAACCAGGTTATACCTTAGTGCGATAAGTGTAGAACTCTCATGTTATGCTTCAAACTGGCGCTGTATGACCCTTGTAGGTTCAGCGCTTATTTTTTATTATGATAATAACATGCTTCAAACTCATACCAAGAAACATTATTCTCCTAAAGTGACTCATGTTTCATTACTACGGTTCAGGTGTGTACATATTAAACAAAAAATTGAAAAATCTTTTCTCAAATAGAGATATATTTATGAGTTTTTGTTTTACTCTCACTGCCTGTTTTATTGAATTTAGCATTAAACTTGTCATGAATGGTATATAATACAGGTTGACGAGCAAGACATGTGCAACACTTATCTATCTTTATTGATGAAACATTTCGCCTGTGCAGCACACTTGATCAATCAGATACAGAGGTGATTACAATATTAGAGACAGTTGCAGTGAAGAGATAACTTCTTGTGATCAGTCTCTTAGCCTTGATACAAGACAATATCAAGTTTGAGGACACTGATCACCTCAAATTACTTCCCTACTTCTGTCTCTAGTACTGTGATTACCTATCTATTCAAGTGATGATGCCTGCTGTGCAGGAGAAACATTTTATCAATGATGATAAACGAGTGTCACATGCCCTGCTTTTTGTTCAGTTTTTATTTAACCCTTAGACTATCCAAACGTAGATCTACGTTTGCACACGTAGCGCTCCAAACATAGATTAACGTTTTAATTTTCATTCCTTCAAATTTCGCACAATAGGCTAAAGTCACCTAGACATGAAAGAATGGGTCTGTGCACTCAGTGTGTGCACTATTAAAAAATCTGGGAGCACCAGTTCAAATGAGTGCCAGCTAGAGCAAATAGCGTGGCACACACCAGGGATTCACTGATGCCATGTCGGATTAACACTCACATTTTAAGAGGAAAGTAAAAATAGGTTAGATAAATACATGAATGAGTGTGGGTGGGTGTGAGTTGGACCTGACTAGCTTGTGCTACTAGGTCTGATATCATGCTCCTTCCTTCAATGGATGTGACCTGACTAGGTGGGTAATTTGTCTAAGCGCAGGTGGGAGGGGGGTGACATGTCCCTGCCTTGCATGGGCAAGTAGGCCTGCTGCAGTGTTCCTTCTTTCTTACGTTCTTATGTATTCGGCAGGCTGGCCGGCTGGCTTGCTTTGGCTGCCTCTCTATCTATATATATCTCACATGTACACACAAGTACAATTATACATAGTGTAAATTACCTAATATAATCCAAAAATTCCAGGCAAAGATAGACAGAAACATGTTTGTGTGTATCAGTGATGACAAATACGTACAGCGAGGGTTAGCTGGAGCAGTGGGCATTTATCGAATGTCACTAGGCTGTCAACAGTATAGGGATGCCTTTCATAACACCATGCTTCAAGGTACAGTATATGCCAGGGTATCTAAAACATTGCTGGGACTTACAAATACTTTGTATTTACATGTACAAGCATATATATACACACACACACCCCTCTGGGTTTTCTTCTATTTTCTTTATAGTTTATTTCCTCTTACCTCCATGGGGAAGTGGAACAGAATTCTTCCTCCGTAAGCCATGCGTGTTGTAAGAGGCGACTAAAATGCCGGGAGCAAGGGGCTAGTAACCTCTTCTCCTGTATATATTACTAAATTTAAAAAGAGAAACTTGAGTTTTTTCTTTTGGGCCACCCCACCTCAGTGGGATATGGCTGGTACGTTGAAAGAAAGAAAGAAGATATATTTCTAGACAATGTGACTATTTGAGCACTATTTCAGTACCTAATATTAGTGTCAGAACAAAGATTGGCTATGAAATTACAAGAACTATTATAAATTGTAATTATCAGAACATAAAAAATATATATCGACAACACTTCAAGCGGCAGGAGTCGATGTTGCCAACAGGTGAGCATCCAGTGCCAACTTCACGGTCTTATATCTCGGTAAGTACTGACCCTAATTTTTTTTAATTCTATAACTTGTAGAAAAATGTGCTCCTCATTTTAAAAGAAAAAAAAAAAAAAAAATTTTATTTTTCAAAATATTCGGAGCGCCACGCGAGTGAACGTAGATCTACGTTTGGACAGTTTAAGGGTTAATGAGATGAAGAGAAGAGGGCATTTCTTTAAAATTTATTAGTGCTGTACAATTAATTGGAATGCAAATTGTTAAAAGCTGCAAACACCTTCTTGGTGTTTTTGAACTTGGCACCTGAAAAACCTATTCATTATTCAACCTTTTAAAAAAATATTTTCTATAAGCATGTTTTTTGTGTACAATAAGTGCTGTATGACCCTGGTGGGTTTAGCACTTAATTTTGATAATATTAATAATTTGTGTACAGTAGTATAAACAAAATCATTTATAATACAAAACTAAAATCTTAAATTAAAATGACCCCTTAAGGAAGATTCACTGATGCATGGCTCTTGATCCAAGGAATTAACCTGAAGTTCATTTTCTTGGACTGAACCTGATTACATGTACTTCCCATTCCCCAAATGCTCTATGAACCCTATGAGTTTCATGCCCCTCCATGACTAAGTTAAAAGTAGGTTACTAATGGATGACTTACAAGACAACAGGATAAATTTTGTAACCAACGGTGAACTTACTCCCAGGAGATGAGATACACCCAAGGCTCCAGCAACAGCTGTTCCTGCTCCAGCTACCTTTCCCAATAACCCTTTGCCACTGTTGTGTTGTGGTACTTGCTGAAAAATTTAAGCACCACAATCAATACCTCGATTTCACAAACTTGAGCTTATCAATGTTAATGGTATATAATTTTAAGATACCTTTAACTGTCTCAATTTGGCAGAAATACATTGCATTACTAAGGGGACTGTCAACCAATGTATCTTCATGGGAAACAAAAGTTATTTTTTTTTTTATATTGTTTTAACCTAATTAATTTGATATTCATAGGAATGTCCAGGAGAAGAGTTTGGACACAGGAAATCTAGTGACCACATTTTGAAGAAAACCCTATGACCCTTACAAGTTTAGCACTACCCTAATGAATCCACCAGTAACACTGTAAAAAAAAAGAATGAGGTTGGCTTTCAATTTAGTGGTTGTGCACTGTGCCAACACATAATGGACACCACAAAAAAATGTGAATGAAAATATTCATGGGAGGCTATTTAGTAAAAAATATTGGATTACTGAGGCACACAAATTTGGGGTTTGACTGTACATTTACAGTATTTACTTGTATAATTATGATTTTAAGGTGTCTAATTACTGGGCATAAACTGCAACAATTTAAGAATACTGACATGTTGATGAATTACTGTGTGCTGTAGACTGATGTATATTAAACCTTCCACAGTCTTGTAAATCTACATTATTAATGCCAGGGGGTCACTTTGTAACTCGATCTCTCATATAAGTGGCGAGTGATACATTTTGGCCTGAATATAAGAAATGGGTCTGTGCAGTAAGTGTGCACAGTATAAAAATCCTGCCGCACACAATACATAAAGGGAAAAGCAAATCTCTGAACCTGTGTGTGGTTTAAAACAGCAAATTTGAGGTACATGGTTTTGTTGGCTGTTTCTTGGTATCATTTGATAAGATGGAAGACATACTATCGAAAGAGATGAATATGGTGGATTCAAGGACCAGAAGTAGCTAGAAATCAGGCTCCAAGTACCGGAAATATTAAATTTTTGACAATTTTCCCGAGGAAAACCCCCTACACCGCCAGTCTGTTTTATGGGTTTTTACTAAATCTGATTCAATTACTGGGATACCATAAACCATGAGCAATCATTCTTGGTCATGTTTTATCCTAGAAATGGAGTAAACCTTCAATTTCTTGGGTGATGAATTCAAAATGGAGGGCAAGTGTAATATAGACGATTGAGGATATTATAAATTAACAGAGGAAATGTTTTAAGAGAGAGAGAGATTTCGTTCGGATTTTTAACCCCGGAGGGTTAGCCACCCAGGATAACCCAAGAAAGTCAGTGCGTCATCGAGGACTGTCTAACTTATTTCCATTGGGGTCCTTAATCTTGTCCCCCAGGATGCGACCCACACCAGTCGACTAACACCCAGGTACCTATTTGCTGCTAGGTGAACAGGACAATAGGTGTAAGGAAACGTGTCGAAATTTCCACCCGCCGGGAATCGAACCCGGGCCCTCCGTGTGTGAAGCGGGAGCTTTAGCCACCAGACCACCGGGCCACCTGGAATGTCTACAGTGTTTATTTCAGACTTTTTTTTTTAAGCTGAAATTTTAATTTTATGCAAAATTTGCCAAATTACTGACTTCTGTGCAATTTATAGGGAGGTTCTGACAGTGGGAGGTTTATTGTGCTCAACTGATAAAACACAAGGCATACTAGCAAAACAGCTAAGAATTTAATTGAAATTTGCTTAAAATAGGACTCAAAGTGGACAAAATCACCGATGCATAAATTGTGCCCAGACCGCTAACTTTGTGCCTGTGTAATTCCATAAGTTTTCCATAAAATTCTGAATTTTGGGTTTCATTACCTTCTGAAAAAGATTCTCTACCATTTCAGATTTATTTTTTTTTAAATTCGGATAATACTGTAAGCACTTTCATTTTTGGGTGTTTCTGACAACGATAGGGATAATGAACAAAAAGGCACAATACCCAGACTGGAACAATATACAAATAACTCTCACATAGGAGAGACGAGCTTACTATGACGTTTCAGTCTTGTCCTGTCCCTGCCTGCTGGCCTATATATAGTACTAGCTCCATCTCTCTCTCTTTTCTGTTTGTGTGACTTTGTAAACAGTGCAAGTCAGACTGAAACATTATCATAAGGTACTCTCTCTCGCATGTGGGTTATTTATGTAAAGGGTTAATATATAGCCACAGTGTCCAGAAAGTTTTCGTATGAAAATACGAGTCTTACAACCAAAACTACAAGTTATTAGTAGAATGTATACAGAACTGCACTATATTTAAAGTTTTATTTGTGCTTGATATCTTATACAGTGGACCCCCAGTTAACGATATTTTTTCATTCCAGAAGTATGTTCAGGTGCCAGTACTGACCGAATTTGTTCCCATAAGGAATACTGTGAAGTAGATTAGTCCATTTCAGACCCCCAAACATACACGTACAAACGCACTTACATAAATACACTTACATAATTGGTCGCATTGGGAGGTGATCTTTAAGCGGGGGTCCACTGTATATTGAAAATTCTAAAAATGGGGTATGAAACCTAGTCTTCCAATTTTACAAGACAAACATAGAATGCATTTTCTCCAAAGTAGAACTACGTAGGAGCATTTTTCCTATTCAGTGACAGGCACTACTGAATTATACACACATACTAATTTATACTGTTATATCTTCAGCTTTTATCCCCTTGACATTATTAGTAATACTACAAACATAATTTGCAGCAAATATTGTACATGCAGTATGTGCACTGATAAAACAGTGGACCCCCGCTTTACGATCAGCTCCCAATGCGACCAATTATGTAAGTGCGTTTGTACGTGCATGTTTGGGGGTCTGAAATGGACTAATCTACTTCACAATATTCCTTATGGGAACAAATTCGGTCAGTACTGGCACCTGAACATACTTCTGGAATGAAATAATATCGTAAGCCGGGGGTCCACTGTATTTGAATTTATCTAATGAAAAATATACATACTGTATTAATACTTACTCCATACTGGCCTGGAGGAGCAGCCTGCTGGTATACAGACTGATCAGGATAAACTGGAGCATATCCTGGACCTCCAGAGTATGGTGGTGGAGGGCCAAAAGCATTGTGTTGTGGGTATGGCATACCTCCAACAGGAGGCACTTGTGAATATGTTGGAGGAAGAGGAGCAGCAGCAACAGGATCTTCAATCCATACACATGCAAGGTTGATATCCTGGCTCGTGCTGGCAACGTTTAAGTAAGTCATTGTTGCTGGATTAGTGCGATGGTTGAATTCTGCAAAGTGCTGGCCATTTAGTGCAATCTGGAATAGAGAACAGTCAAAGTATTGCTCAATGGGCAGTAAATACAATATGTACTCTGGGATGCTATATGTTAGAAAATTCTTAATATATTACCCTCTTTTTTTTCACCAAACTAAAATTTATGATACCCTTGAAACAAATAAATTAGAATATTATGAAAATTTTTGAGTTTATTACTCATTTTTACAATTAGTGGTTGTTCCCTTAAATGAATATTAAAAAAAAATATTTCATGAAACAGTTATACAGTATAAATAAAAAATAAAGCTATAGTTAATCATACCTTGTACTGCATTGCATCACAGAGAATTGTGACGTCATAATTTTGTCCACGTGCAAAAGCAAGAGTGCTGGTCGCTTCTTCCTGCCCCCACCCTGCAGCACGGGTGAAGGCATTCCTCCCCACCAACCCCTCCACCACTCGTCCATATATACACAGACCAATTTCATCAGTAGGATCGCCAGTTGGTCCAGATTGGAATTTCAGCACAAAACTAGAATTACCATCAGAATTAGATAAAGTCACATATATCTCAAGAAACTTGTACCGAACTATTTACTTTTCAGCTTTTCTACGTGAAACTGTCGAAACAAAGATTTCCCTCCAAACAATCAAGCAATGGGTCAGTGTTGCAGGTTCAACTAAAAAAAAACTTCAAAACAAGTGGATCTTAAAACAATTTATACAATCATTTGCAAGTAATACATCAGTGATTACCATAAATAAAACAGGTACCCAAAATCATAATATGTAGTAACATAATCCACACTCAGGCAGCCTCCAAGATGCTGGGTAAATTTTCTAGATTATTTTTTGAAAAAAATAGTCTTCAATGCCATAAAATATGGTACTCAAATACTATGTGCTCGCTTAATCAAGTATGCAAGAGTAGATTCACAGCTCCTGGCCCTGCCTCTTAACTACTACATTAACCAATTTCACTGAATTTGGCTTCCAGTTTTATACCTTTTCTTGAAACTGTGTCCAGTACATATAGTTTGCCTCCACCACCTTGTATAGGTGTCACATGACCCCTTATGGTTTTGAGCTTGTTTAGTATTATAATACATTTTTTTGGGATGGGAGGAGTAGGGGAAAGTGCTCTAGAAGCCATTTTCAACATTTTTGTGAACTTTTTCAGTCTTACCCACATTTTTAAGTACAGAGATTATTCTGGAGTGGGGAAAAGGAGGGGTGGAAGAGGGGTGGGGAATACAAGAATGATACATCACTGCATCTTCTAATTTTAACCAAATTTATGTTGTGAAAAACATTTTTAACTCCCATTCATATATCTGAAGGCTGCTTTAATTATATTCCCCAGTGAAGGACATCAATTATTTCATTTATATGACTTTTTGGTGACAAACTTGTGTAATAATAAAAAAAAATAATAAATTAACAAAAATTAATAATAATAAAATAGTAATAACAACAATAATGATATTAATAAATTAATATTAAATTAATAATACTAATAATAAATTAATACAGCCTCTCCTTACTTAGCGACGTACAGTGGACCCTCAACCAGCGATATTAATCCGTTCCTGAGAGCTCATCGTTAATCGAAGTACAGTGGACCCCCGGTTAACGATTTTAATCCGTGCAAGAGGGCTCATCGTTATGCGAAATAATCGTTATGCGAATGAATTTTCCCCATAAGAAATAATGGAAATAAAATTAATCCGTGCAAGACGCCCAAAAGTATGAAAAAAATTTTTTTTTACCACATGAAATGTTAATTTTAATACACACAAACTGAAAAAGGCATGCACAATTACATGACACTTACTTTTATTGAAGATCTGGTGATGATTGATGGGATGGGAGGAGGGGAGACCGTTGATCTTCTTAGTGTTTAGAAGGGAATCCCCTTCCATTAGCACTTGAGGTAGCAAGTCCTTTTCTGGGGTTACTTCCCTCTTCTTTTAATGCCACTAGGACCAGCTTGAGAGTCACTGGACCTCTGTCGCACAACAAATCTGTCCATAGAGCTCTGTACCTCCCGTTCCTTCAAGACTTTTCCTAAAATGGGCCATAACATTGTCATTGAAATAGTCACAAGCACGGCTTGCAACAGCTGTGTCAGGGTGATTTTCATCTATAAAGGTTTGCAGTTCAACCCACTCTGCACACATTTCCTTAATCTTTGAAGTAGGCACAATGGATTCCACAACTGGCATAGGCTTCTCAGGGTTAGCCCCAAACCCTTCAAAATCTTTCTTAATTTCCATACTAATTCTCACCCTTTTTACCACAGGGTTGGCACTAGAAGCTTTCTTGGGGCCCATGGTCACTTATTTTCCAGAAACAGCACCGAAAATACTGTAATAATACGAAATATTCCGAGTGTATGCTTGGATGTTACCGCGGAGGCTGGCTGGTAAACAATGGGACGGAGCGGCACATGTGAGGCTGGCTGAGGGCACATTGGACGCGTCTCGGACGAAAATCGGTATGCGGGTTTTTAATCGGTATGCGCGGCAAAAATTTTGCGATAAAAGTAATCGTTATGCGGAAAAATCGCTATGCGATGCCATCGTTATGCGGGGGTCCACTGTAATCGTTAGTCAAGTTAATTTTCCCCATAAGAAATAATGGAAATCAAATTAATCCGTGCAAGACACCCCAAAGTATTGAAAAAAAAAATTTTACCACATGAAATATTAATTTTAAAACACACAAACTGAAGAAGATATGCACAGTTACATGACACTTACCTTTATTGAAGATCTGGTGATGATTGATGGGATGGGAGGAGGGGAGACCGTTGATCTTCTTAGTGTTTAGAAGGGGAATCCCCTTCCATTAGCACTTAAGGTAGCAAGTATTTTTCTGGGGTAACTTCCCTTGTTCTTTTAATGCCACTAGGACCAGCTTCAAAGTCACTGGACTTCTGTCGCACAACATATCTGTCCATAGATATCTGTACCTCTCGTTCCTTTATGACTTTCCTAAAGTGGTTCACAACATTGTCAGTGTACAGGTTGCCAACACGGCTTGCAGTAGCTGTGTCAGGGCGATTTTCATCAAAAAAGGTTTGCACTTCAAGCCACTTTGCACACATTTCCTTAATCTTAGAAGTAGGCAACTCCCTCAATTTCTCTATCCCCTCCTCCGAAGCAGTTTCCTCAGGTCTGCCCTCTTGCTGTTCAAGATGATCTAGCAGCTCATCAGTGGTTAGTTCTTCATTGTCCTCCTCCACCAGCTCTTCCACATCCTCCCCACTAACCTCCAACCCCAAGGACTTCCCCAATGCCACAATGGATTTCTCAACTGGCATAGGATTCTCAGGGTTAGACTCAAACCCTTCACAATCCCTTTTGTCTACACATTCTGGCCACAGTTTTTTTCAAGCAGAGTTCAAGGTCCTTTTAGTCACTTCCTCCCAAGCCTTACCTATAATGTTTACACAATTGAGGATGGTAAAATGATCTTTCCAAAACTCTCTTAGAGTCAGTTGAGTTTCTGAGGTCACTACAAAGCACCTTTCAAACATAGCTTTTGTGTACAGTTTCTTGAAGTTGGAAATAACCTGCTGGTCCATGGGCTGCAGGAGAGGAGTGGTATTAGGAGGCAAAAACTTCACCTTAATAAAGCTCATGTCCCTAGAAAGTCGCTCTGCCAAGTCTGAAGGATGACCAGGAGCATTGTCTAATACCAGGAGGCACTTAAGGTCTAATTTCTTTTCAATTAGGTAATTTTTCACATTAGGGGCAAATGCATGGTGTAACCAGTCATAGAAAAAGTCCCTAGTGACCCATGCCTTACTGTTTGCCCTCCACAGCACACACAAATTAGCCTTGACGACATTGTTTTTCCTGAACACTCTGGGAGTTTCAGAGTGATACACCAATAAAGGCTTCACTTTGCAATCACCACAAGCATAGGCACACATCAACAGAGTAAGCCTGTCTTTCATAGGCTTATGTCCCGGGAGTGCCTTTTCCTCCTGAGTAATGTACGTCCTGCTTGGCATTTTCTTCCAAAACAGGCCTGTTTCGTCACAATTAAACACTTGTTCGGGTTTCAGTCCTTCACTGTCTATGTACTCCTTGAATTCCTGCACATATTTTTCAGCCGCTTTGTGGTCCGAACTGGCAGCCTCACCATGCCTTATCACACTATGAATGCCACTACGCTTCTTAAATCTCTCAAACCAACCTTTGCTGGCTATAAATTCACTCACATCACTAGTTGCTGGAATTTTTTTAATTAAATCGTCATGCAACTTCCTAGCCTTTTCACATATGATTGCTTGAGAGATGCTATCTGTTTCTCGTTTATCCACACCAATAAGTCTCTCTCAACATCTTCTACCACTTGCGATCTCAGTTTCGAAAACATAGTTGCACTTTTGGCAAGAACAGCTTCCTTGATTGCCATTTTCTTGCCCACAATAGTAGCGATGGTTGATTGGGGTTTATTATACAACCTGACCAGCTCAGAGACACGCACTCCACTTTCATACTTAGCAATGATCTCTTTCTTCATCTCCATAGTAATTCTCACCCTTTTTGCTGTACGGTTGGCACTAGAAGCTTTCTTGGGGCCCATGGTGACTTATTTTGCAGGTGCAATCACTACAAAGGCTGTGGTAATATGAAATGTTCCAGTTGTATGTTTGGAAGCGACCGCGGTGGCTGGTTTGTAAACACTGGCACCCACGGGACAAGTGAGGCACGCTCAGGCCAAAGTGGACACGTCTTGTACGGAACAAATAGCGCTGGTCGGGTTTTTAAGCGCTAGTCGAGGCAAAATTTTTGTGTTAAAATGTATCGCTATTCAGATTTATCGTTAATCGATGCCATCGCTGGTGAAGGGTCTACTGTACTTATTTACCGATGACTCGGACTTACGACGGGCTCTCTGACCAGTATGCATACCTAAATAATGTATGTTAGAGGTGATTTCCTCTATTCTATTTATTACAATATGCAGTACACTGCTGTATAAACATTTAAAAATATACTAAAAATGTTATAAATGGTGCAAAGGTGACATTAAAACAATATCAAAGATGGTGGACACAAACCTGCCTGAAATACGTACTCATTCCCATTACTTAATTTACTAATTGTAATATTGTTATATGTTTTGTACTACCTCACTGTTCTATGTATCACTTCAATTACCTTTTATGTCAGTATGCAACAATGTATATTAAAATGTACTGCTCCATAATCTGTGTCAATATAGAGTAAGAATTAGTATTAGTCTGCCCGAAATGCCTAGGCATGCTAGTGGCCTTCTTTGTAATTAATATTTTATAATATATGAACCACACATTGTACGTTTTGCAAGGGATTAAACATTTTCACTTCATTATATGCAATATGCTCCTTGCTTAGTGAAGAATTTGTTTACCAGCGTGGTCTTAAGAGACAGAACTCCATCGTTAAATGAGGAGAGGCTGTAATACTAATAATAAATTAATAATAATAATAAAATACACAGTAATGTATAAAACCCACCTGTTGGCATCTGGCTTAAAAGTTCCAGTAACATGAGCAATTTTTCCAGGTGTGAAGCCTCCAGGTATTACTGCAATATACGGCTCACCCTGCAGAGATGATCAAACAGTCTGATATTTATACCCAACAGCACAGTATTACAGCTCAAGATCCAACTAAATCACTAATGCACAGAATTAACATAAAATGGCCCCCTATTGTGCAATGTCCTGAGAGATATACTAAAGATAAGACAAAATGGCACCAGAACTGTATACATCTAACCCTAATAACTTTAGGTTTTTTAAATGTCTGCCTTGCAATATGCAAATACATTGTTTTTACAGTAAAGTCCATCATAAAGCTCCTCTATTCTAGATGCAGTTGAAAAAGTGCATCAAAAATTTAATAAAAGTGCATTGAAAATTAATAGCATGCATTATGACTTTTTTATGCACTATTCAGTATTGGAAGTTCCTTTTCAATCATATTTCTGAAAAGCTGCACTATATATTATTACATAATCATAACTAAGCATTAAACCCACAGGAGTTTTATAAGAGAGCCGTTTACAAAATTGCCTTAAAATTCACGAACTTAAGAACAGGTTTATGTAAGAACTTACTGGATTATAAATTGGTGACCCCATGGATGTGTTCTTGATATATTTTTAGCAGTGGTACTGCAACTTCTGAAATAAATGTCAGATACTATATTACAATATTCAAATTTTTGTACATACACATATGTAATATAAAAATACACTGAATATGAATAGGGAGTTACCATGCCAGACAGATAAATGGCCTAGTCCCAAGTGGCAGATTGATCTAGCTGACCTCATTGTAGCAGGTCATGTCAGTTGTACTTGTGTACAAACCGTTATGCGAGTCACCGCCTCCCTGACTATGTGACGTCACGAGTCCCTTTGAACTGCCGTGTCCCCGAGGCAGTGGTCAGTTAGTGAGTCAGTCGAGTTCAATTGGTACAGCAGACACACAGGCAGGCTCTGGCTACTCCCTATTCGCCCTAATTATATGCATCCAAGATAATCCAAGTGTGCATTTATCACCCAAAATCCTTCACCGAACCCCCACGACACTCAAATGGCAGACAGGGCTAGTTCCCTCGTGTGACTGACATCTAGTTTCCTCAAATGGCAGTCATGTCTAGTTTCCCCTCAAGTGGCAGACAATTTTGGTTCCCTCAAGTGATCAGCCAGTTAGGTACTAAGAGCCAGGCAGGCAAACTGACCAAGTCTCGAGTGGCAGACTGATCTAGCCGATCCCACATAGCAGGTTTAGTTTCCTCAAATAGCAGACAGGTCTGGTCCTCCCTACCCCAAGTGGTAAACAGGTCAAGTTCCTCTAAGAAGAAGACAGGTCTGGTTTTCCCAAGTGACAAACAGGCATAGCTCCCAAGAGGCACACTGGCCTAGACCCCTAAAAACAGACTGTATTAGCTTCCACAAGTGGCAAACTGGCTATGCTTTATCCATGACCAGTTTCCAGTGCCATTCCACCCCTGAACTCTACCCTGAGTCCACACTTCCCTGTTGATTGTTTGATCAGTCAAGCTATCTGTACTAGTGGTTACGACTGATGCAACTAACTGTTTATGACTGACAACTAACTAAGCACCTACAGAAGGAAATCATCCAAATTCTTAAAAACTTCTACCTCCATTCTGACAATATTTCTGACATCTGCTGATAATATGTCGAGTCTTCGGCCACAAATGTTGACAGCATTTTCTATTTGAATCCATGGCTCTCCCAAATGGCTTATTGGGCTAGTCCCTCCAAATAACAGATATATGTAGCCCCTCTCCTCCCCAGTCGTAGACTGATAATAATGGCAGAATTACCAAGAAAATGCTGAATAAAAGGATACACAAGTAACTAACATGACATTTTATTGTGGCAACGTTTCACTCTCCAGGAGCTTTATTAAGCCAGCTTGACAAAGCTCCTGGAGAGCAAAACATTGGGACTTCTGCGCCAGCCTTCGTCGGGTGTGGACGTCTCTCTCTCTTGCCTGTGTATCAGTGACAAATTTCCACCACTCTCTCTGGGACACTTGTCCTCATCTCTTTTGCCCGCCAGGCACTCTACAGGAGGGGCACCTGTTCATCGGTTTACTTTAGCCAGCTCCATTTTTTTCGCTCTGCGGAAAATTCTTTAATGGTCTTTGGTGGGAAGCTGGTTACTGAACTCAGGTGAGAGTGTGGGCATCCCTCTTCTATCTCTACTTACAAAGGAACTTTTGTTCCTTTTCTTTCATCGCTCAGCCCTGGGCAATAATTTTTCCTCGTACCATCAAGAAACCAGGCTCAATATGGCTTATGCTGTCAGTGGCCCTTGCAAACCTAACATAGAAAGAAACAAAGAAGCAAAACACTGCTACAATAAAATTACATTAGCCTCATCTGTGTCCCTTTACCTAACATTGGTAAAGTGATCTAACTTCACCCTTCTAGATGATAGTCTAGCATAGCTACCAAGGAAAAGATTCAACATGTCATTACCAAAGCTTCAAGCCTCAAAAACATTAACTCAGCCAAACAGAACCTAGTATTGAACTTAATTAAAATCTAGGTTAGGTTATGTTAGATTGGGCTCTGTTGTTTCGTGGCACAACTAACTGGTTACGACTGACACACAACTAACTGGTTACGACTGGCACACAACTAACTGGTTACGACTGACACACAACTAACTGGTTACGACTGACACAACTAACTGGTTACGACTGACACAACTAACTGGTTACGACTGACGCACAACTAACTGGTTACGACTGACACACAACTAACTGGTTACGACTGACACTACTGGTTACGACTGACACAACTAACTGGTTACGACTGACACAACTACTGGTTACGACTGACACACAACTAACTGGTTACGACTGGCACACAACTAACTGGTTACGACTGACAACTACTGGTTACGACTGACGCACAACTGCTGGTTACGACTGACGCACAACTAACTGGTTACGACTGACGCACAACTAACTGGTTACGACTGACGCACAACTAACTGGTTACGACTGACGCACAACTAACTGGTTACGACTGACACAACTAACTGGTTACGACTGACACAACTAACTGGTTATGACTGACACAACTAACTGGTTACGACTGACACAACTAACTGGTTACGACTGACAACTAACTGGTTACGACTGACACAACTAACTGGTTACGACTGACACACAACTAACTGGTTACGACCGACACACAACTGGTTACGACTGACACACAACTAACTGGTTACGACTGACACACAACTAACTGGTTACGACTGACACAACTAACTGGTTACGACTGACACAACTAACTGGTTACGACTGACGCACAACTAACTGGTTACGACTGACGCACAACTAACTGGTTACGACTGACGCACAACTAACTGGTTACGACTGACGCACAACTAACTGGTTACGACTGATGCACAACTAACTGGTTACGACTGACACACAACTAACTGGTTACGACTGACACACAACTAACTGGTTACGACTGACACACAACTAACTGGTTACGACTGACACACAACTAACTGGTTACGACTGACGCACAACTAGTTACGACTGACACACAACTAACTAGTTACGACTGACACACAACTAACTGGTTACGACTGACACAGAACTAACTAGTTAAGACTGACACACAACTACCCATGTTAATAAACTCACTAACACCTCCCTTTCCCCCTCTTATCCAAGGTAATTTGCCACACGTCATTACCTAAGCTCACTCATAATCAAAAACTGAAAATCGTGCCTAAATAAGCTCACTTACTGACTGGTGACGACTGACTCAGCCACTTTCTACTGATGACTTTTTTTCTGAGGAAAAGAGAAGGAAGGAGCAGCTCCCCGGCCTTCATACTTCTGCTGCTGACTGTTGTTGTACACTTACTTTCTGTCTCCCTTGTCGTACTCTGCAGGGGAAGGTCACTTCCTCTCCCCTTGTACTCTTCAGGGGAAGGTCACTTACTCTACCCTTGTACTCTTCAGGGGAAGGTCACTTCCACTCCTTTACTCTTCAGGGGAAGGTCACTTCTCCCCTTGTCGTACTCTTCAGGGGAAGGTCACTTCTCCCCTTGTCGTACTCTTCAGGGGAAGGTCGCTCTCTCCTTGTACTCTTCAGGGGAAGGTCACTTCCTCTCCCCTTGTACTCTTCAGGGGAAGGTCACTTCCACTCCTTTACTCTTCAGGGGAAGGTCACTTCTCCCCTTGTCGTACTCTTCAGGGGAAGGTCATTTCTCCCCTTGTAATCTTCAAGGGAAGGTCACCTCATCTTCCCCGACAGGTTGGTAGGTAACACACACAGGCAACAGTTAGGCAGCTTTATTCCGAAACGTTTCGCCTACACAGTAGGCTTCTTCAGTCGAGGACAGAAAGTAGGCAGGAGCAGTAGAGATGTGAAGACGATGTAATCAGTCCATCACCCTTGAAGTCGTAGATTTGAGGTTGTCAGTCCCTCAGTCTGGAGTACTGTTCCATAGTCTGAAACAATATGAAGATAGACAGTATGGAGACTTATATACTGTCGGAAGGAGCAGGGACGGATTTAGACCTTGGGGGAGCAGGGACGGATTTAGACCTTGGGGGGCCAGGGGCACTTCTGGTTTGGGGGGCCCTCAACATGGAAATTAAATTGAATTACAAATACGAAATGAACTAAAATGAAGACGACGACGTCAGGAGCTCAGAAAAAAAAAATCCAAAGAATCAAGCGAAAGAAATGCTGCGGTCTTGATAGACAAAATACCTTGATGAACATCAAAATGGTATACAATACCATACCCCCGGCCGGGATTGAACCCGCGGTCATAGAGTCTCAAAACTCCAGCCCGTCGCGGTATACAATACCGACAGGTTGTTAGGTAAGACACATATGCAACAGTTAGACAACTTTATTCCGAAACGTTTCGCCTACACAGTAGGCTTCTTCAGTCGAATACAGAAAGTAGGCAGGAATCGTCTTCACATCTCTACTGTTCCTGCCTACTTTCTGTATTCGACTGAAGAAGCCTACTGTGTAGGCGAAACGTTTCGGAATAAAGTTGTCTAACTGTTGCATATGTGTCTTACCTAACAACAAAATACCTTACAGAATTTTTCTCTGCTTCTGTAATGGAAAACAGAAGCTACTAATGAAGACCCAGTACCACTACCAGATGATGTTTCTTATGAGGACCTGCCCACATTCCCAAGTACATCTACAGAAAATAAAAAGAACATAGCAAATCAAGACAATAAAGGTGATGAATCACCACAGCCACATTCTACAGATACTTGTGCAGACATGGACAGTGAAGCACCACTATGTGATTCAGACCCAGCCATGTAGTTTCCTGTCAGGGAAAACCATGTGTCCTTTTGGTCAACTACCACCATATAGATAGATACCGAAAGTGTGACGCCAAAGATAGAAATAAATACACGTCGGTAATCATTAGTGTAGAAAGAATGTATTGCAAACTGAAAATTATAATCAATTATCCTTAAAGTCAATAAAATGGAGAAAAAAAATTAAGACTTCTTCGAAACCTAACTTTTTTTTTCGAAAACTGCTGTTTATCGTTCATTTTAGTTCATTTCTCATTTTTAATTAAATTTAATTTCTACGTTGAGGGCCCCCCCTAAGGTCTAAGTCAGGCCCTGATCAAAACTAAAGCACTAAACCCACAAGAGATGTGAAATACGTAAACCCAACATCAAAGAGACGGTTTTCAACACGAGTCCATTGACACTTTTCATTAGAATTACGAATATGTGGCAAACGAGTATCTTTGGGCTAGTGTCCAGGGAGTTTCAAATATCAAGGTTCAAGCCACGTTAACACTAACATCTGTGTTAGTCCCTTAGTAATTACCAAGTGACAACCCTCCCACTAGTAACAACTAGCTACTCACCCCCAAACCCCTCCACCAGCAGCCAATCCCCCAACACTTCCTCTAACGACTTTCCCCCTCCCCACAAACAACCACTGACGTCACCCCCTCCTCCTCCAGGTCAATGGCGCCATTTAGCCATGGAGGTTAAGAATAGTGGCGCCACTAGTCATTCTTCTGCCATCCACCACACCATCAACACCTCCAGTTCCATCAACCTCTGGTAATTTGAAAAAAACTTGGATTCGAATTTCATGGTAATTTTTGATAGATCAGCTTTGAAAATATTTTAGCAATTTTTCTTTGTACAAAATATTGAAGGAAGCATTCTAAATACATAGACTTCAAACTATTGCTTACGACAGTTCATGAATAATCTAGTAATGTCCATACTTTTATCTTTGCAGACATTGTTTTGGCGTGTTGCTGCTGGTGATGACATCTCTGAAGACTTGCAGCTGCCCACAACGCAGACTTCACCACACAGCAGCTGCCCACAACGCAGACTTCACCACACAGCAGCTGCCCACAACGCAGACTTCGCCACACAGCAGCTGCCCACAACGCGGACTTCGCCACAACGCAGACTTCACCACACAGCAGCTGCCCACAACGCAGACTTCACCACACAGCAGCTGCCCACAACGCAGACTTCACCACACAGCAGCTGCCCACAACGCAGACTTCACCACACAGCAGCTGCCCACAACGCAACTTCACCACACAGCAGCTGCCCACAACGCAGACTTCACCACACAGCAGCTGCCCACAACGCAGACTTCACCACACAGCAGCTGCCCACAACGCGGGGAGTATCTTCAACCTACAAGATTCACTAAAGATTAATTAATTTATTTATTAATTTTGTCTTTATCACAGCAATGTTAAAGGAAAACACACAAAGGTGTTCAAGGAACACAAAAAGATAGAAAAAGGAAATAATAGAGACAAGCCTCAACTGCTGTATTTGTCAGCAGGACAACATTCACACAATTTGGGAGCTTTAAGCTCGGGGAAAAAAAAAATATATACCTACCCCAATCCTACTAATAATAGTAATGAGGCGGAGCCTCAATACTGCCATTATTAGTAGTTTGAGGTATGATACATTATTGAATTTCATTACCTTGTTTGTACGGGACAGTAGTAACACTTGAAGATCTTCAACACTTTCACGTGCATGCGAGTCTAACACAGGTGATCATTGTGTTGTCAGGAAGACTCTGGGGGCATAAACAAGTTGGAGGGTAAACTCAGTAACATTACAACCTAGCCAAACCTACTCCCAATATCCCTTAGACGCCTATATTTAACTGCAAAAAAAAAAAGACAAGTGCATGTTACACAGACTTGATGACAAATCTCCTCCTGAATCAAACCTGATTGACTTGCATCGACCTGTCCCCCCCCCCGAGAGTTTACCGCTTCCACCCCTCCCCCCTCATTCAGACTTATGCACGTATGTAAATTTACCCAAATAAAATTTCCCATAACTAGATATATTATCCGTAGGGGCTATACACAGCTTGGGGAATGTTAGGCAATCTGGGTTGATCCAAGGAAGGGGAGGGTACTTACACGCAGTTGCATCAAGATACCTTCTAGTATAAAGACACCCCCTTGAAGGACATACTAATTTAACATGTTAACTACCTTCATTTGACATTGTATTTCCCCGCCACTGCCACGTCCCTCATAGCACACTAGACTAACAACCAACACTATGGGTTATCTAACCAGTTGGAGGCCTGCCGTATACCAGTCTCCAAACACACTACTATGCTAGCCTAAATTCATAACCCACCTTACCTGCCATTTATGGCTGGCATCCTAGGTACAACCTGAGGACCACTGCATTCAAGCCCCCCCCCCCCACTACCTCTATTTTTCTGGGTTTCTAACTTAGCAGGGTTAATCCTATTTTCACTAATACCAATCTAAATCACCCTCCCCCCCACTATACTCACTGGCATCAGATGTTAGTGAATCCTTTCTACCAACTAACAACTTCAGAGGTTTTCATTATTTTCATTACTAACATCTGCTGCCAGAAGTGTTACACTTCACTACTTACAAACTATCAAACCAACTGCAATTCTGAACGATAATACTTGTATATTCATAGGGACCTGAACGCCGCTTAAATTTTCCAAAATGATGAAATTGTGTAAACTCAATGAATCAATATTTAGCTTTGCAGTTTGGCCAAAGGCATAAAAAACGTAGAACACCCACCACAACCGCTACCCAAGCCCGAAACCCACCAACATCCCCACGGAAACCACGTGCAATAACAGATTGCAGACAGCTACTGAAGGTCGTTGGTGGGTTCCCAGGCTAACAGTTCTACGTAATCTATGCCTTCAGGGGAGATTACTCTCCCCTGCTATATGCATTCATAATGCATATAGCAGATTCTCCAGTTTTATACCTTACCTATCCTACCTAACACCACCTAATTCTATAAGTTTATATCAAAATAACTAATTGTAGACCTACAAAGTGTTATATACACCACAACTATGCAGCATACTCCAGGTATAGGCCTTAGTAATTTGCAGAGCAATGGCGGCGCAAGGAGGGATGAAGGGAGGTAAACGGGTCAAGGGGGGTCTAGGTAAGATCAAGTGGGGTCTAGGTAAGATCAAGGTGTAGGTAAGATCAAGGGGGGTCTAGGTTAAGATCAAGGGCAGTCTAGGTAAGATCAAAGGGGTCTAGGTAAGACAACACCACCACCAAATTTCGAAGGGTCAAATCAGTATCCTTTTTCTACTCATCTGCATTATAAAAATCTATACAATATAAATTTGGGAAAATTGCATCAAAATGTTGCACACGTGACATTTTTATTAGGGTATTTATACTCCCCAGGATGCGACCCCTACCAGTAGGCCTGCTGCAGTGTTCCTTCTTTATGTGAACAGTGGCAATGGATATAAGGGAAAATGCCCACTTGTGTCCAGGATCGAATCCCGGTTCTTCAGTTGACGCCACTACCAATTGAGCTATGATATATCACTTACACATTTCATCTCAGCTAACTACAATCTTGTAGGATGGGTATAAACTACATAATACTGATATTACACTAACTAAAACTTTCTAAAATCTAATCAGTCTTCGATTCTAAGCTTTACAACCCATTTCTCCAATTTTTATTTCCACCCCATTCAAGGTAGCCTATAGAATACATTCCTCATTATTTCCTGGGCAGAGATTTCATCTCCGGTCGGGAGATAAACTAATACTTCCCACTAAGTTACTTTTGATATCAATTGCTTACAATCTTTCCTATACTCTCCCCACCTAATACAATTATCTGTTTCAATAACCAAACTTTTGTGGACTTATAACTTGGAAATACCTTACAAGTGGGCCCTGCCCACCTCTAACGACGTCTCCAACTGCTGCATCTCCACATAACACTCAATGTTATGATTCAGACCATTTACTAGTGTGGTTGTCTCCACCCCTCAGACTGGTCAATGTTGCTGTGTTGATCAATGTTGCAGCAGAGACAGCCAGGCACAGCAATCCTCAGACTGGTCAATGTTGCAGCAGACACAGCCAGGCACAGCAATCCTCAGTTATCACACCTGAAACAAAACATTCACATTATAACCATAAACATTACCATGTAATATAAACTAGTAACATTACCATGTAATATACACTAGTAACATTACCATGTAATATAAACTAGTAACATTACCATGTAATATAAACTAGTAACATTACTGACACGAGGAAATTAAATCTTCATCAGAGTACAAAACAAATTCTGGCCACAAAATAGAGCGAAACACCAACGTCAAAGACCTGGGAGTGATCATGTCGGAGGATCTCACCTTCAAGGACCATAACATTGTATCAATCGCATCTGCTAGAAAAATGACAGGATGGATAATGAGAACCTTCAAAACTAGGGATGCCAAGCCCATGATGACACTCTTCAGGTCACTTGTTCTATCTAGGCTGGAATATTGCTGCACACTAACAGCACCTTTCAAGGCAGGTGAAATTGCTGACCTAGAAAATGTACAGAGAACCTTCACGGCGCGCATAACGGAGATAAAACACCTCAATTACTGGGAGCGCTTGAGGTTCCTAAACCTGTATTCCCTGGAACGCAGGCGGGAGAGATACATGATTATATACACCTGGAAAATCCTAGAGGGACTAGTACCGAACTTGCACACGAAAATCACTCACTACGAAAGCAAAAGACTTGGCAGACGATGCACCATCCCCCCAATGAAAAGCAGGGGTGTCACTAGCACGTTAAGAGACCATACAATAAGTGTCAGGGGCCCGAGACTGTTCAACTGCCTCCCAGCACACATAAGGGGGATTACCAACAGACCCCTGGCAGTCTTCAAGCTGGCACTGGACAAGCACCTAAAGTCGGTTCCTGACCAGCCGGGCTGTGTCTCGTACGTTGGTTTGCGTGCAGCCAGCAGTAACAGCCTGGTTGATCAGGCTCTGATCCACAAGGAGGCCTGGTCACAAACCGGGCCGCGGGGGCGTTGACCCCGGGACTCCAGGTAAACTCCTGGAGTTTACCTGGACCTGGTAATGTTTAACATACTAAGTTATCTTTTTGTTTAATCAATATTTCTTACACATAAACCTGATAAGTAACAATTTGTTAACATGTAAATCTATATCTGGATCACAAGGCTCAAGTTCCTTGGATCAAGAGACCTTCACTAAGGTATTTTTCAAAATGGATAAAATAGGCCAGAAGGTAATAATTATAGGTTATGGTAACGTTCTAGTGTGAGGTTATTGTTTGATCAGAAGGAAGTGGGCGCTCAGTTCCTCACTCAAAACCCTCCACTAAGGCAAACCCCCCCCCGCCTCCCCTCATAAAATTAGACCCCAAGAAAATTAAGACTTAAAATATGAATTTTGGTGCCCAAACTGGTGGTGGGACAGGAGCTGAGTCAACTCTGCTGTTGTACTGACAAATACGTCACCGAAATACTTACGTTATTTAGGTGTATTGAAGGTCGAGGAAGCGGTAAAGCCGGCGGGGCGGCAGGAGGAGCAGCAACATGTCTCCCCAAATACGACACTGAAGTTTCAAGGACTTTTAGTGACCTTGAGGTTGGTCAATGTCCTGACCTTCTTATAACACTCATGATTAACCTGACTACTCTGACTACCACCACTAGTGGCATTACTACACCACACTAGATGCCACTACTACACCACATTTAGTCATACTACACCACTACCACCACTAGATGACTACTACACCACACACCACCACTAGATGGCACTACTACACCACACTACCACCACTAGATGGTTACTACACACCCTACCATCACTAGTGCCACTACTACACCACCATAGATGCCACTATACACCACCACTTCCCCCACTAGTGCCACTATACCCACCACTACCACCATAGATGGAACTACTACACACCACTACCACCACTAGATGGCACTACTACACCACCTACCACCACTAGATGCCACTACTACACACTCCACCACTAGATTGGTACTACTACACCACCACTACCACCACTAGATGCCACTACTACACCACCACTACCACCACTAGATGGCACTACTATACCACCACTACCACCACTAGATGGCACTACTATAGCACCACTAGATGGCACTACTACACCACCACTACCACCACTAGATGGCACTACTACACCACCACTACCACCACTAGATGGCACTACTACACCACCACTACCACCACTAGATGGCACTACTACACCACTAGATGGCACTACTACACCACTAGATGGCACTACTACACCACCACTACCACCACTAGATGGCACTACTACACCACTAGAGGCACTACTACACCACACTACACTAGATGGCACTATACACACCACACCCACCACTAGATGGCACTACTACACCACTAGATGGCACTACTACACCACCACTACCACCACTAGATGGCACTACTACACCACTAGATGGCACTACTACACCACCACTACCACCACTAGATGGCACTACTACACCACCACTACCACCACTAGATGGCACTACTACACCACCACTAGATGCCACTACTACACCACCACTACCACCACTAGATGGCACTACTACACCACCACTACCACCACTAGATGCCACTACTACACCACCACTAGATGGCACTACTACACCACCACTAGATGGCACTACTACACCATCACTAGTACTACTACTCATGGTGGAGCACTCAACCCGTGGGAGTCATGGACCACCTGGGAGGATAAGTTCACTCCCAGGTGGCATAGATCACATTCCTTGGATCAACAGACCCTCACCACCACCTTCAAGGAACCTCTCTCAAGGCGCCCACTCTCACCACCAGAGGCGCTCAACTCCACTACTATTGTACCACTAGTATTCTACATGAGTATACCTGGAGAACGTTTCGGGGGTCAACACCCCCGCGACCCAGTCTGTGACCAGGCTTCATGGTGGATCAGAGCCTGATCAACCAGGCTGTTACTGTTGGCCGCACGCAGAGGGAGATTATTGTACCACTAGTATTCTACATGAGGGGAGATTATTGTACCACTAGTACTCTACATGAAGGACAGATTATTGTACCACTAGTACTCTACATGAAGGGCAGATTATTGTACCACTAGTACTCTACATGAAGGACAGATTATTGTACCACTAGTACTCTACATGAAGGACAGATTATTGTACCACTAGTACTCTACATGAAGGACAGATTATTGTACCACTAGTACTCTACATGAAGGACAGATTATTGTACCACTAGTACTCTACATGAAGGACAGATTATTGTACCACTAGTACTCTACATGAAGGGCAGATTATTGTACCACTAGTACTCTACATGAAGGGCAGATTATTGTACCACTAGTACTCTACATGAAGGGCAGATTATTGTACCACTAGTACTCTACATGAAGGACAGATTATTGTACCACTAGTACTCTACATGAAGGACAGATTATTGTACCTGGAGTTTACCTGGAGAGAGTTCCGGGGGTCAACGCCCCCACGGCCCGGTCTGTGACCAGGCCTCCTGGTGGATCAGAGCCTGATCAACCAGGCTGTTTCTGCTGGCTGCACGCAAACCAACGTACGAGCCATAGCCCGGCTGATCCGGAACTGACTTTAGGTGCTTGTCCAGTGCCAGCTTGAAGACTGCCAGGGGTCTGTTGGTAATCCCCCTTATGTGTGCTGGGAGGCAGTTGAACAGTCTCGGGCCCCTGACACTTATTGTATGGTCTCTTAACGTGCTAGTGACACCCCTGCTTTTCATTGGGGGGATGGTGCATCGTCTGCCAAGTCTTTTGCTTTCGTAGTGAGTGATTTTCGTGTGCAAGTTCGGTACTAGTCCCTCTAGGATTTTCCAGGTGTATATAATCATGTATCTCTCCCTCCTGCGTTCCAGGGAATACAGGTTTAGGAACCTCAAGCGCTCCCAATAATTGAGGTGTTTTATCTCCGTTATGCGCGCCGTGAAGGTTCTCTGTACATTTTCTAGGTCGGCAATTTCACCTGCCTTGAAAGGTGCTGTTAGTGTGCAGCAATATTCCAGCCTAGATAGAACAAGTGACCTGAAGAGTGTCATCATGGGCTTGGCCTCCCTAGTTTTGAAGGTTCTCATTATCCATCCTGTCATTTTTCTAGCAGATGCGATTGATACAATGTTATGGTCCTTGAAGGTGAGATCCTCCGACATAATCACTCCCAGGTCTTTGACGTTGGTGTTTCGCTCTATTTTGTGGCCAGAATTTGTTTTGTACTCTGATGAAGATTTAATTTCCTCATGTTTACCATATCTGAGTAATTGAAATTTCTCATCGTTGAACTTCATATTGTTTTCTGCAGCCCACTGAAAGATTTGGTTGATGTCCGCCTGGAGCCTTGCAGTGTCTGCAATGGAAGACACTGTCATGCAGATTCGGGTGTCATCTGCAAAGGAAGACACGGTGCTGCGGCTGACATCCTTGTCTATGTCGGATATGAGGATAAGGAACAAGATGGGAGCGAGTACTGTGCCTTGTGGAACAGAGCTTTTCACCGTAGCTGCCTCGGACTTTACTCTGTTGACTACTACTCTCTGTGTTCTGTTAGTGAGGAAATTATAGATCCATCGACCGACTTTTCCTGTTATTCCTTTAGCACGCATTTTGTGCGCTATTACGCCATGGTCACACTTGTCGAAGGCTTTTGCAAAGTCTGTATATATTACATCTGCATTCTTTTTGTCTTCTAGTGCATTTAGGACCTTGTCGTAGTGATCCAATAGTTGAGACAGACAGGAGCGACCTGTTCTAAACCCATGTTGCCCTGGGTTGTGTAACTGATGGGTTTCTAGATGGGTGGTGATCTTGCTTCTTAGGACCCTTTCAAAGATTTTTATGATATGGGATGTTAGTGCTATTGGTCTGTAGTTCTTTGCTGTTGCTTTACTGCCCCCTTTGTGGAGTGGGGCTATGTCTGTTGTTTTTAGTAACTGTGGGACGACCCCCGTGTCCATGCTCCCTCTCCATAGGATGGAAAAGGCTCGTGATAGGGGCTTCTTGCAGTTCTTGATGAACACAGAGTTCCATGAGTCTGGCCCTGGGGCAGAGTGCATGGGCATGTCATTTATCGCCTGTTCGAAGTCATTTGGCGTCAGGATAACATCGGATAGGCTTGTGTTAATCAAATTTTGTGGCTCTCTCATAAAAAATTCATTTTGATCTTCGACTCTCAGTCTGGTTAGCGGCTCGCTAAAAACTGAGTCATATTGGGACTTGAGTAGCTCACTCATTTCCTTGCTGTCATCTGTGTAGGACCCATCTTGTTTAAGTAGGGGCCCAATACTGGACGTTGTTCTCGATTTTGATTTGGCATAGGAGAAGAAATACTTTGGGTTTCTTTCGATTTCATTTATGGCTTTTAGTTCTTCCCGCGATTCCTGACTCCTAAAGGATTCTTTTAGCTTAAGTTCGATGCTTGCTATTTCTCTGACCAGTGTCTCCCTACGCATTTCAGATATATTGACCTCTTTTAGCCGCTCTGTTATTCTTTTCCGTCGCCTGTAAAGGGAGCGCCTGTCTCTTTCTGTTTTACATCTACTCCTCCTTTTTCTTAGAGGAATAAGCCTTGTGCATACATCGAGTGCCACCGAGTTAATCTGTTCTAGGCATAAGTTGGGGTCTGTGTTGCTTAGTATATCTTCCCAGCTTATATCGGTTAGGACTTGGTTTACTTGGTCCCACTTTATGTTTTTGTTATTGAAGTTGAATTTGGTGAATGCTCCCTTGTGACTAATCTCATTATGTCGGTCTGGGGCTCCGCGCATACATGTCTGAACCTCAATTATGTTGTGATCTGAGTATATTGTTTTTGATATGGTGACATTTCTTATCAGATCATCATTGTTAGTGAAGATGAGGTCTAGTGTATTCTCCAGTCTAGTAGGCTCTATTATTTGCTGGTTTAAATTGAATTTTGTGCAGAGATTTAAAAGCTCGCGTGAGTGTGAGTTTGCATCAGAGCTGCCTCCTGGTGTTATTACTGCAACAATATTATTTGCTATATTCCTCCATTTTAGGTGCCTTAAGTTGAAATCCCCAGGAGCAAGATGTTGGGTGCAGGAGCTGGAAGATTTTTCCAGACAGTGGTCAATTTTTAACAGCTGTTCCTGGAATTGCTGGGATGTTGCATCCGGAGGCTTGTAGACTACCACAATGACTAGGTTTTGGTTCTCGACCTTTACTGCTAAAACTTCCACTACATCATTTGAGGCATTTAGCAGTTCTGTGCAAACAAGTGACTCAGCAATGTACAGGCCAACCCCCCCCCCCCCTTTTGCCTGTTCACTCTGTCACATCTGTATAGGTTGTAACCTGGGATCCATATTTCGTTGTCCAAGTGATCCTTTATGTGGGTCTCAGTGAAAGCCGCGAACATTGCCTTTGCCTCTGCAAGCAGTCCACAGATGAAAGGTATTTTGTTGTTTGTTGCTGGCTTTAGACCCTGTATATTTGCAAAGAAGAATGTTATCGGACTGGTGGTATTGTTGGT